TGCTCTAAAAATGATATCTTTATTTTAACAATTTCTTTGATATTAACAACTATGACAAGAAGACCTCTACTTAAATACCCACCACATGAAGCTTAAATGAAAAAACAGTCACGTTAAATAAGCCTGTATGTGGGTGTAGGAGAAGTACATTGGGGGATAAAGATCATGCTATCAGTTAAAGTGAATCATATTCCATCTGTATATCCAGCTAGTTTCTGTTTCCTTCATTCTTTATTTAAGCATCTGTTTGGCCCATACAATTGTTTCAGTATCTTTATTCCCTCAAGGCTAGCTATATAAACTAGTTGTGAAAATCTGTGTTTGAGACATGTCCCTGCTAACATTACGTCAAATCTGGAAATTGGATTACTATAATACAGAAGGGAACATTTGAAAAACATGGATAATTATTCGTTTCTACTTGATTGCCTTTCCATCTTTATTTGCTACCATCAATTTGCCCTTTATTATTGAGTTATCCTCCTTCCTGATGAATCATTGGGTACTTGTCGCCCCCGTTGGAAGGCTTTTTTTAAGTTTCTTACCATAGTCTGGGCTCTGCTCTGTCTCCTAATTCTTTTTCTAGGATGTTTTCTGTTAAAGAAAAGAAAATAGCCCAAGAGGTGTAGAAATCCATTAGCTGGCTGTAACAAACAGTCATTTATTTTACATCATGCCAAATAAACTGCTACAACACCAAAAAGCTTCAGCTAACCTTGAGCCTATTAGATATAATACATTGAAAAAAGGCATGTTACTGAGTTAAGGGCCCGTTGACATCCCGATGCTTTAGGCACATTTTTATGGCATCTAAAGTGCAAGCAGAGTTCTGTGCCGTTGTTTTGACCTATACGCACTTTTACAATGCAGCTTTAAAGTAGATCTAAACCTTAAAGAGATACAGAATTCTTGAAGCTGTGTTAACAAGGCATGTAGAGGACAAAAGAATAGTCACCAGTATTGCCTGTGGTCTTCCTGCAGCTGATCTTTACCTATTACTGATTTAGGCCCACTTCACATTTCATTCTGCTCGCGATCTCAAAACGATCTGCAAAAATGACAAATCACATCACCAAATACGGCGAGGTTCTGCCGCAAATTTCGCACAATAAACATGCTGCAATCATGGCAAACAGCATTGTGCAAAGCTTGTTGATTAAAAAGGAGCAGGAGCTTACTTTAGGCAACAAGCTTCGCGCAATGTGATTTGCCACGATTGCAGTGCGATTTATCACACAACAATCGCTGCAGAACCCCACTGTGTTTTTGTGCCATTGACAAGGAATGGCATCTGAACAGGCATGGTGTGATTTGTCTTTTTGCAAAGTGTATGAGATCATGGGCAGATACGCTGCGTTTCTGTATGAGACTGCAAACACCCAGATGTGAACATGGCCTCAGCATGCCTTGCTCTGCAAAATGGAGGCGGCCAACAGTAGAGGCAGGGATTTGCACCCTGACATTATAGCCTCCAGCAGGAACAATAGTGAGCAGCACAATAGTGACATCACCAAATCTCATTTCAAATCAAGGAGTAGGGCCCTCCTTTCCCTCTTGTATTGAACTGTATTGTTGCTCTATTGTCTCCCGTTATATTGTAAAGCGCTGAGCAAACTGTTGGCGCTATATAAATTCTGTATAATAATAATAATAAATTCTCTGAGATTACCAGTCGAAAGCAGCAGTACCTTAGATCTCAGTGCAAATATATACTTATGAGGCTATAAACTCAAAAGTGCCTAGGCACCTTCACATACCAGGAAGTGCACAGCTTTTTTTCAGGTGCAGTTTAGAACAAAGGTACATTTTTAGAGAACTGCTTAGGCACAATTAACATGTCTATTTGTTCTCTATAATCTAATCATCACTTTTTGATCTTAGGTTCACTTTAACCAGATGACATTTAGTTTGTGAAAGCACTGAGCATCATAAACGATCATTATTTTTTCTATGTAATACAGTTTTTTTGTGTTTTTTTCCCTTATTTTCATATTAATCACGCCCATCTATAACTTTCATCAGCTCATCTCCCCAAAGTTATAACCTTTTTTACCACTTGCCCCACCCTATTAGATTGTAAGCGCTTATGAGCAAGGCCTTCTTAATCATCTTGTTTTTCTTTTGTATTGTAACTGTACTGTCTACCTTTATATTGTAAAGCCCTTTGCAAACTGTTGGCTCTATATAAATCCTGTATAATAATAATAATAATAATAATAATAATAATAATAATAATAATACTGGTGATTTCCTCTAGCCTGCTATAGCCTGTTATATTCAAGTATCAGCAGCACACCATTGCATAATGTGATTGGCATAGCCACTGCTAGTCGCCACCATGATAATAATACAGGAGTACAACTGGAAGACAGTAGTCATCCAATGACAGGAGGTGCCTGAAAAAGACCCTCTATGGCTGGATCACCAAGTTATTCTAATGAAAGCTGCAGATTTCCAAGATTGCACTGCAAAGCATTAATATGTCATAGTAAATATAACTTTTTAATAATTGGGTTTAGATCTTTTTTAAGGAATCCTACTTTTTGCAGGTTACCTTCATATTCCAGAAGGCACATCCTATGCATGAATGATAGATAGCATATATTAAACATTTTAATGCATAAAGCTTCCATTTTCCTGGACACCATGCAGAATATGCAGAAAATGCCTTTTAAAGAGGTATGTTTAAAAAGCATGTGTTCTTAAAAGTGGAAAAGAGACCTTAAGTTGGCTATAGACATTGGACAGCAGTTGGGCATGCAAACACAATCCAGCCACCTGAAACTTTTCTTATTTTTCCAAGAATAATTACATAAATATATATGCTTGCTTCATCTGAGGCTACACCACAGCCTGACAACTTTGATACTAGCTTGATCTTAGAGGGCAGAATTGCTGAAAACAGACTGGTTGCTTTGGGGGTTCCCAATGCAGTCTGTTGACACTCGTAGAGGTATGGACCATTGCAGATAGCAGCACAGTTTATGCTTTTGTAGAGACAACACTCTACAGCCAGCAATTAAACTCAACACTTTAACTGGGGATTCTAACATTCACACAGAGCTTAACAAGGTTCTAACAGTGGATTGAAGAACAAAAGTAACAGTTTGTCTGTTTACATTACTCAAAAATTATATTTGCTGTCCAGAATTCCTTCCAGATGATGGAGTAATCTCAACCTTAAAGGTTTTAGTCCCTCAAGGATTGTATCACTACAATTGACCTGAGTTCTACCTTTATTGAGAATAGGCTAGATTTCAGGCTAAGGTTAATACTGCTGAGACATGAAAGTTGTGCAACTTCCAGTGTGACTTTGCGTTCCAACTTGCTTGCAACTTCTGTGTGACTAGATTAAGGCAATCCTTGTATCTTTTGTGATTTTAACATTGCAGTCTACGGCACAGAAGTGGCACTAAAGATGCAGAAATTACGTGCAGGAACTTCTTTTTGAGTTGCATTGATTCAGAAGGCACCCATTAAATGAATATGTTATGACTTGTCATGCCACTATATGTGTCCTAAGTCGCATCAAGATGATAAGTCCCATCATTGTGAACTGAGGCTCAGCCACAGTTTTTCTGGTAAATTCTCCAGTAACAGGTCAGTGTTTTGGATACCTCTGTCATGTTCATGTAGCTAGCTTCCTGCAGCCTTAAAGGGGACCAGAAATGCACCTTTTTTAAAGTAAAGGCAACAGTAATCCCTGCCTTCACTGTACCACTATCTGGCCTGCTAACAGCTACCCTTAAAGTGGTTCTAAAGGTGCAAGGTTTTTTTATCTTCATGTATTCTATGCATGAAGGTAAAAAACCTTCTGTGTGAACATCCCTCCAATCCAGGGATGTTCTTGACAGCCTCTGCTGTCTCTGCTCTTTCTCCTCATTGGTTGAAACAGCAGTGGGAGCCCATTCAATCACAGTTAGTGAACCAATGAGGAGAGAGTGGGGGGCAGGGCCGAGCCATGGCTCTATGTGTATTATAGACGCATAGAGCTGCAGCTCAGGGACAAGCATGTAGTGGTACCCCCAGGGCTAACGGCTTTCCCTGGGGACACTGCTTGAGGGAGAGGAGCCAGGAGTGCTGGCGGGGACCCGAAGAGAAGAGAATCTGGGCTGCTCTATGCAAAACCACTGCACAGAGTAGGTAAGAATAGACATGTTTGTTATTTTTTTTTTAAATGAAGCTTTAGTGTCACATCAACATCTATAAACAGAAAAACTCACATGATACTATATCAATCAATTATTTATAATATATCATATATTTAAAGGTTACTCAAGATTTGGTAAAATGTAGACATGCAAACAACAAAGAATTTATTTATACAAGTATCATAAAAGAGTTTTACGATGCAACCATGCTTAGTCTGCCTTCATTTACAAAAATACTATTGTTTTGTTTTTTGTATGTACATGTGTATTTGCACATATAAACAATATTTATGCACTTTTTGATAAAACGCTCTTTTATCCCTGCCCTCCCAGGCAGAACAGTCTTTTTCTGTGTCTGCATCCTGTTGACATTTGACTTATCCACACTAACATTGATTGTAGCAAGAGATACATATGTTGGTTCTTTTGATGTTACTCTTTATTTCTTCACAGACATTAACCAGAAGATATCTTCATTAGGCTGCAGGGTTGTATTTGTACGGTCTTAGCTGAGCTCGAGTGAGGCTGTGTTCCCAGAGATCAAAGGGATACATGAAAGGGTCGTAAGCAGACATTGTCTGTTATCACACATTTGGATCTATGTGACAAATACATCATCAAGTACAGATTTTTATTAAAACGGGCAACAGATATGGAACTGAACCTAATAGGTATCTATGGCAGCAGCTCCTGGAAACAGTCAGTCTTTGAATGGCTGGTTTGACGTGGGGGCTCAGGCTTCACTCTCGGCTCTCCACTGGAGACTCGTATGCTGAAGGCTATAAATCACTCAACAGTTTTTCTCAGAACTATGAAAGAAATAATTCTCTTTTTTTGTAGAGAACCTTTTTATATTAGACAGGAAATGATTGTATTCCACCTACCTGGTGGGTATTTGCATATAAAATTGTGCTTCATGTTGCACCGGTCATCATTCCACTGGTACATGTATGGTCCTCCTATTCCAGGATTAGCAGTCGGCTGGTGGTACATGACCACACACCCTTCACTGCCACATGATGGTTCATCTGCATACCAGTTCCTGTCAAAGCACATAAACAGTTCATTATCCTTGTTTTTAACATTGGACAGACCAATATTCAAAGTGGAATAACCCATACCAGCCAATCAGCAATCATCTGGCATTATGCTGATATCTCTAAATTTACAAAAAGGTGACATCTCATTATTTTTTTACATAGCACTCCATCTTGTTTTACTGAAAAAAAACTACATATGTATTTTTAACCACTTGGTAACATCAATACACTTTTTTAAGTCACAAGAACAATGCCCATGCAGCAAGAATGTTAACGTAGTAGAAGAGAACTAGGAATGTGCACTTGTGTGCTTTTCTAGTTATCAGAGTGAAAATAACAAATTAGTCTTAGAGTTGTAGTCAAGTTATGCAACACATATTGACCCTATTAAAGTGGCCATAGAAATCTATGCTTCCATGGAATTGGATTTTGAACCTCAAAATGCATACCTAAGATAGAACCCACCCTCAGGAATCAAACTATCCCATTACCTAAATTCACTTTGGTGTAATACTCCAATAAGAGAGTTATTTACTAAAACTGGTGCAGCCCTGCATATAAACCAATCAGCTTCCAGGTTTTATTGTCAAAGATTAATTCAACAAGCTAAAGTTAGAAGCTGATTGGCTACCATGCAGAGCTATACCATTTCCTGAGTGCAGCAGTTTTAGTAAATCTTCCCTCAAAGTGGTTGTAATGCTCAAGGGATTTTTTTGCCTTCATGCATTCTATGTGCAGCCACCCCTCCCCCCTCAAGCCCCCCTAATACTTACCTGAGCCCCATCGTGATCCAGCAATGTGCACAAAAGCCTGGATTCTCTGGGGCTCTCCCTCGTCATTGGCTGAAACATACATTGGCTCCTGCTGCTTTCAATCACAGCAAGGAAGCTTATAAGAAAGAAAGAAGGGGCGGGGTCGAGCCACGGCTCTGTATGTGAATAGACACACAGAACAGTGGCTCTGGAGCAAGCCTGCTTGGGTGCCCCCATAGCAAGCTGCTTGCTGTTGGGGCTCACAGAAGGAGGGAGGGCTTAAGAGTGCCGCCATGGGGCCCAAGAAGAGGAGGATCAGGGGTGCTCTATGCAAAATCAATACACAGAGCAGGTAAGTATAACATGTTTGTTATTTTTAAAAAAGAAATAATCGCCTTTAACCTCTTCACGCACGCCGGCTGTACGCAAATGTGTGGCCTCCTGGAGTCTGGGTCTTGACGCCGATCTCCTGTTTCGATTGGGACCTTTACCGATCATGTGACCGCCGTCATGGTGATTCACGGCAGTCACATGACCTTAAAACCCCACCCCACTTCCTGGCTTCCGAAACCCTTAAAGAGTCGGGAGGTGCTGGTGCCAAGGGGTTAATATTACTTTAAGGCTCCTTTCACACAGCAGGTTCAATCAGGTCTGACTGTCAGTTTTTTTCAGGTGAACCTGATTGGATGGTCCATTTACACCTGCCTACCTCCAGGTCCAATTCTGTCCACTAAAAAAAAAATACAGAAGTGGATCTGTTCTCGTCCATTTCGGTAGATCAGATTGGATCGGAGGGCAGTCAGGTGTAAATGTCAGAGGAGTCCTTTATACCAGGCTACACATAGATCATAGCTGGCCCTGTCCATGTCTGCTCTGCAGATACTGAGCAGACATGGATATTTCATTTGTCTTCTCCACTCAGTGGATCTCCTGCTATTCGGAACAGAGTCTACCCCATTTAAAAGGGGACTATTTTTAATATTTAGCTTAGGCAAACCAATCAAGAGATCATCATATTATAATATTTAAAATATACAAAATTGTTTTTCTGTACAATTTGAAGCTATCACCATGCAGAAGAACAACCATGTTTGCTCATTACATACAAAAGCAGTGTTTCCTGCTTTCCAATACTGCACAATGGTGGTGCTTTACTTTTTCTTCTGACAATACAAGTCTAGGAGTAGGCAGGCTGTTTGGCCGATGTCTTATTTCAAAACCAGTGAAGCAGTTAAGCAGCGCTAGTGTAGTAGCTAATCTAACCTGACACTAGTGACTAATAATCTAATCTACACATTTAATAAAATAACTTAAAAAAAAATGGTTGCGTACCATTGGTGCCAAGGAGTTAAAGTCCACCTTATGCTCCAAAAAGGTGAAAAATAGTTAAGTAGATCTCCACAATCAACTTAAAGAATATGTAAACCCAACATTTCATATTGCTGATGTGTGCCTGCTGTACCATGTACTTGTATGAAAAAGTATCCCGTTTGTGTGAAATCCCTGGTGTTCCGGCCATTCCTCTGCTTTCCTATTAAAAACTGACCACACTAAGCATGAAAGCACAGCATGGTTAGTTCTCTAGCTGTGCTGGGAACTCAGCCTCTTCCATTGTACAGACTTCTGCTGATACACCCCCACTGCACAGCCATTCACTGGGAAGACCAGTCTTCTGCTGTTTACCCTTCCCCAGCTCTCTGAGCCCCTTATGCAACTGAGAACAGATGGTATATGATCACTTAAAAAAAAAAACTGAAAAGAATATCATTAATGGTTTTTATATGTATACACAAATGTTTTCCCTTTCATTTCTATTTTAAACTGTATGGGTTGCTTTACAAGGTGAGTGTTTACATATACTTAATGCAACTCACACATCAATATGTAAGGGCCATTCAGTGCAGTAGTCAGGGCCAACTCTAGAGATGGAGAAGAGGGATGACCTGTGACATCATCAAAGTAATTGGAAGACCCCTGGAAATAAAGTGAATCTATGGCCCAGATTCATTTCTACCTACTCTTTTTAGGCTCCATGCACACTAGCGTTTTACTAGCTATTATCAGCATATATTTTTTCTGCTCCTATAAGATAAATAGTGTTCTCCTATGTGTCCATACAAATTACTTTAGGCTATTAGCTTCAGCGTCTAGGATCAGAAAAAAAATAGTTTTTGTAGAGTTTTTTAGAGCATTTTTCCAGCAGAAAAAAACATTAAATACTCCTAAACACTGCTAAACACTACTAAAACACTCCTAACAGCTTTTTTCTAGCTTCTGAATACTACTAAAATGCTACTAAAAAAAACACTATTACCAGCGTTTATTTTGAGCTTAAAAAAATGCTAGTGCGCATGGAGCCTTAATCTGAATGATTCTGAAGTTTGTAAACCTACTTCACAAAGACCTACATACATTTACTTCCTTGAATTCTGTGACACGTATGCACTAGGTGCTGTGAGTAGGCACTGCTGTGTCGCACATTTTACAGAGCCTGCCTTCTGATCTACAGGAGGTGCTGAGAGGAGGAGTTTCAGGAGGCAGAGCCAGTACAGGAATCACTGTTTGCAGGCAGCAAGATACCATGGGATATGTAGTTCTTAAAAGCTGAAAGTAGTCAACAGAAGCTGCAAAGCATGCAAGGAAACCAAGAAGTTTTGGAATAAGACCAACAGACAGGCAGCACTCACAACATGAAACAAAATTTTTCAAGTAAGCTTATATTGGATTGTCAAAAATAACTATTGTTTGTATCAGGGGCGGACTGACAAATCATGGGGCCCCCGGGCAATAGGAGATCATGGGGCCCCTGTGTCCTTGCCCAAACTTAAAAAAGCCTATGAAAAAGGTACCAGGGGCATCTCATGGGGCCCCCTACTGACCCCGGGCCCTCGGGCAGTGCCCGAGTTTCCAAATGGTCAGTCCTCCCCTGGTTTGTATTGTCATTACAATGCTTTTGTTATAAAATGACAGTGCATGCTGTGACCATAGAACTCCTTTAACCATTTGGTTACATTAGCTTTATGTTCAGTGGAGCTGGGTGGGTTTTTTTTAGGTAAATTTAGCTTGTCTTACTGCAACCAGTGTGGCTCTAATCAGTGTGCAAGCCCCTATTCACACTGCATGTGAATTAGAAATTGTGGGACTTCAGTTGAAGTCATGTGATTTCAAAGTCACATGTTAATGTGACTTTGGGTGTGACTTGCAGACATCTGTGCAACTGCATGCACAGATGTCTAAGCAAGTCGCACCCAAAATCAGCAAACGTAGTGCAGGAACTACTTTTCAAAGTAATACAACCAACTAACCCATACATGGACTGAAATTTTTCCGTTCTCTGCTGAACCAACCAACTTTTGATCCAGGTATGGCTGGCTTGAGTTAAAAACAATCTTATCAATGTGTGTTAATGTGTAAAACTCTTTTTTATGTCTATTTTGTTTTATCATCTACATGCATAGGGAACACCTTTTTGATTTTTGTAACTCAATGGTCATCAAAAACAATAGATTCTCTGCAGATGTGATTGATAGACAGAGATCATGTGATCCAGGCTGTTTGATCCAGAACGTAGAATACTGCAGACCAGTAATGTGATTTGGTAACACTGGCATATGACCTGTTAATTTGTACAGTGTGAATTATATTGATAGGTCCACTTGAAAATTCATCGTGAAAATATAAGATTTGTTAACTAGGTTAAAACTTGCAGTATAACATACATCGATTATACAGAAAAATCAATATACACTTTAGAGTAAATTTTATATTGATGTTCATGTTACCATTTAGCAAGCGCATAAAATTAACAATATAATCCTTGAATTTCTTCAGAATTTCTGAGACCAGCTTGATAATAACCTTACAGTAAAATGAAAAATTAAATGTTGTGACATTATACTAAAAATAGAGAGGTGTGTTATGCATTATCTCAGAATGAGTCAACTTAATTGGCTTTTGAGAGTATCCAGAGACATTCATTGAAATTGTTATTCTATTAGCATTTTATAATAAACTGAATTAAGTTATTGCCTTATGCTAAATTCATTTGAAGATTATGGGGATCATTAATAATTATACCTGAACAGTGCAGTGCTACCATCAGCCCACTTGTAAAAGTCTGGACAGGCTCCTGAAGTTGCCATGGATTCCATGTTCCGTGACAGCCCAATCCAAAAGTCCCCGTCTGACTTTCCAGATCCTGAGTTAGTCAGATTTTGCAACATTCTCTCAATCAGTTTTTGTTCAGCTTCACTTTCAATGCTTAAAAGATGGCCTCCTTCTCCACTGCAAACCTGATGAGCATGATGGTAGCCAACTCGTGCAGTTAAGTCTTGAAAGTAAGCAATTTTATAACAAGGATGTTTGTAGTCTGCGTAGCAAATCTTCCGGCCTGTAATAAAAATACACAAATATAAGGATGCAAGAGCTTGGAAAGGATTAAAAGTAATTGCTTTATAATGTCCGTCAAGATGCCGTGAAAATATAAATCCATCAAAGGTTAAAGCTACCAAAATAAATGTTATTTCAATTCTGCATGAACGATAGTTGAATCAGCTAATAGCTTTTGTCAAAGTTTTTGATTTGAGCCGTCACCACCACTGTTGCCATAGAAAAGGGAAGCAAGAACTTACTCCTCTCTAACTTAAAGTAGAAAATTCAGCAGTGGGAACGATATCCCTTATATTGCGTGAATCGGTTAAGCAGAGCGGGGAATTTATAAGCTGCTAATAATGATATGAGGGATATAGCAAAATCACAGAGCAAGTATTATTTCCTTGCAGATGGTAAAGTCACAAGCAAAGATTACAATCACCTATAAAAACGATTTACTAATGGAGCCCTCTAAATGTACTATTTTCTAAGGGAGCCCTGGCTAAATCACTGATCACTAAATACTGGCAAACCAACAAAGACCCTTCAAATAATGAAGAGAAGGAACATGTAAAAAAATTATATTAAATGTAAACATTATAATGGAAATGGAATCCCTGGATTGAACAAGAAACTTGCTTGGTTTTTATCCATGTCCCTTCTTAAGAGATTCACCCGACCTATTCTGTACACTACTCTGTAACATGCTGTACCTACTCCTCCTTCTTACAGTTGTATCCTCTTCAAACTCTCTCTCCTTCACCTCTCTTCTCTACCCCACAACTTTTATATATCACCCTCACTCCTGTCTTCACCTTATTGCTGTACTAATCAACTCCTGCTAATTCTGAACCCACATACTAATCAAACCTCCAGGACACTGGGACCTGTCCCTCCATATAAGTAATACTCCCATATTACCTCTCTCACCCTTCTGCTTCTCCTAACATCTGGAGACATTTCCCCAAATCCTAGGCCGCCATCTTTTTCCCTTGACCAACACAACCGACACACTATCCTCTAACAGCAGCCGCAATCCACACAATCTGGTTACTATTCTTCTTCCTAGAACCAGCCTCCCAATTTCCTGTGCCCTTTGGAATGTAACAAACTCACCTCTGTCCATGGCCATTTTATCACAAACTCCTTTAACCTACTTGTAATTACGGAAACCTGGCTTCATGAATCTGACTTTCTCTATCCTGGTGCCCTCTCCCATGGTGGTCACCTCTGGACTCACTCTCCCAGGCCTAGTGGGCGGAAAGGAGGTGGAGTTGGAATCCTCCTATTTCCTCAAAGGACTTTTAAGGTCCTTCATTCACCTCCCTCTCTGTCCCTCCCCTCATTTGAAGTTCGCTGTATTCATCTATTCTCTCCAGGTTCCTTAAGAATTGCTGTGATCTATCTGCCTCCTGTATGGGTATCAAGGTTCCTTGATAACTTCTCTGTCTGGCTGCCTTTCTTTATTCCTTCTGAAATTCCCATAATCATTCTTGGTTACTTCAACATCCCTGTTGATCTTAACACTACTGCTACTTCTAAACTTCTGAGCCTAACCACTTCTTTTGACCTAAAACAATGGACACATGCTTCTACTCACTCTAATAGTAACTGCCTCAACCGTATATTCTCCTACCTATGCACTCCTTGCAACCTCACCAACTTTCCCTTTCCTCTCTGATCACTCCCTATTAGCTTCACTTTCTCCTTGGCTTCCTCCTCGTCTTTCAACTACCAAACAGTTACCCATAGAGACCTTTGCTATCTTAACCCTTCTCTTCTTTTTTCATCAACAGATTGTCTCGATGACAAAATCTCAGCCCTGTCCTGCCCCAGCCTGGCCACTTCTGTCTACAACAGTTCACTGTCATCCACCGTGGACACATTGGCCCCCCCCCTCACTACACATAGAATTAGGCCCCGACCGCTGCAGCCCTGGCAAATAGACAATACCAGATGCCTCAAAAAACAAAGCCGTGCTCTTGAGCATTTATAGGTTTAGACTAAGACCCAGCAAGACTTCGACCAATATAAATTTGCCCTTCAAAAATACAACTCCTGTCTCCACACTGCCAAACAAGCAATCCCCGTCAACTCTTTTCTACCTTTAACTCTCTACTTTGTCCTTCTTTACCTCCACCCACTAACTCACTCACTGCCCAGGAGATAGTTAATCACTTCAAAAATAAGATTAATACAATTGGTGATGAGCTCTCCACTGTACAGACATCTCTCTCACCCTACACTCCTTGTCCACCTGCACGATCTATGGTTCTCTTGTTTAACCCAAAGGTTTATAGAGGAAGTTGGTAAACATTTTTCTAAAGCCTACTTAACCACCTGTCCCCTGGACCCTGTTCTCTCGCAAATACTACAATCACTCTCTGGTTCTATTCTTCACTCTTTAACTCATATCTTCAATCTCTCCCCTTCTACTGGCATCTTCCCCAACTCTCTAAAACATGTGCTAGTCACATCCATATTTAAAAAGGCCTCACTGGACCCCACCAATCTTAGCAACCTAAGACCCATCTCTTACTCTCTCTTTTTCCACCAAACCCCTTGAAAGTCTAGTCTACAACCGGCTCAGCTGCCACCTTATTGGGAAAAAACCTTCTTGATCCCCTTCAGTCTGGATTTCACCCACAACACTCCACAGAAACTGCTCTCCAAAAAATCACAAATGACTTGCTAACCACTAAAACCAATGGTCACTATTCCGTACTCTTACTCTTCGACCTCTCCACTGCTTTTGACACAGTTGACCACCCACTCCTCCTCAAAAAACTCTATTTACTTGGTCTCCATGACTGTACTCTCCGTTGGTTTGAATCTTACCTATCTCACCGCACCTTCACTGTCACTTACAACTCTACTTCCTCCTGCCCTACTCCTCTTACTGTCAGAGTCCCCCAAGGTTCTGTCCTTGGACCTCTCCTATTCTCGATCTACACTTTTTACTTGGGTCAACTGATAGCTTCTAGAGATGAGCGAATTATTCAAAAATTCGATTCGGCTGATTCGCCGAATTTGCAGAATAAATTCGATTCGATGCGAATTTATTCGCTGCGAATTTAACTTATTAAAAGGGTTTCTAGGCTTCAGAGAGCCTTTATATTAGTGCAGAACACTGTACCTTTAATTTAAATGCCCTTGGAGTCTGCTGGGGAAGAGAAATAATACTGTCAGTCAGTATGACATGCAGATGAGTGCCGTCGATCTTAGAATCACCGCACACTTCACTCATTTGGGCAGTCACGGGGCACGACGAAGAAGATGAAGAAGAAGATGAAGAAGAAGAAGAAGATGATGAAGAAGAAGATGAAGAAGAAGATGATGAAGAAGAAGATGAAGATGAAGAAGAAGATGAAGATGAAGAAGAAGATGAAGATGAAGAAGAAGATGATGAAGAAGAAGAAGATGATGAAGAAGAAGAAGATGATGATGAAGAAGAAGATGATGATGAAGAAGAAGATGATGAAGAAGAAGATGATGAAGAAGAAGATGATGAAGAAGAAGATGAAGAAGAAGAAGATGAAGAAGAAGATGATGAAGATGAAGATGAAGAAGAAGAAGAAGAAGAAGAAGATGAAGATGAAGAAGAAGAAGAAGAAGAAGAAGAAGGAAAATAAGAAGAAGAAGAAGGAAAATAATAATAAGAAGAAGGAAAATAAGAAGAAGAAGAAGGAAAATAAGAAGAAGAAGAAGGAAAATAAGAAGAAGGAAAATAAGAAGAAGAAGAAGAAGGAAAATAAGAAGAAGAAGAAGAAGGAAAATAAGAAGAAGAAGAAGAAGAAGAAGAAGGAAAATAAGAAGAAGAAGAAGAAGAAGAAGGAAAATAAGAAGAAGAAGAAGAAGAAGAAGAAGGAAAATAAGAAGAAGAAGAAGAAGAAGAAGAAGGGAAATAAGAAGAAGAAGAAGAAGAAGAAGAAGGAAAATAAGAAGAAGAAGAAGAAGGAAAATAAGAAGAAGAAGGAAAATAAGAAGAAGAAGAAGGAAAATAAGAAGAAGGAAAATAAGAAAGAAGAAGAAGAAGAAGAAGAAGAAGGAAAATAAGAAGAAGAAGAAGGAAAATAAGAAGAAGAAGAAGAAGAAGAAGGAAACTAAGAAGAAGAAGAAGAAGAAGAAGGAAAATAAGAAGAAGAAGAAGAAGGAAAATAATAAGAAGAAGAAGAAGAAGAAGAAGGAAAATAAGAAGAAGAAGGAAAATAAGAAGAAGAAGAAGAAGAAGAAGGAAAATAAGAAGAAGAAGAAGAAGAAGAAGAAGAAAGAAGAAGGAAAATAAGAAGAAGAAGGAAAATAAGAAGAAGAAGAAGAAGAAGGAAAATAAGAAGAAGAAGAAGAAGGAAAATAAGAAGAAGAAGAAGAATGAAAAGAAGAAGGAGAAGAAGAAGAAGGAGAAGAAGAATGAAAAGATGAAGGAGAAGAAGAATGAAAAGAAGAAGGAGAAGAAGAAGGAGAAGAAGAATGAAAAGAAGAAGGAGAATGAAAAGATGAAGGAGAAGAAGAAGGAGAAGAAGAAGGAAAAGAAGAAGAGGAAGTAGAAGAAGAAGGAAAATAAGAAGAAGAAGAATGAAAATAAGAAGAAGAAGAATGAAAAGAAGAAGGAGAAGAAGAAGAAGGAGAAGAAGAAGGAGAAGAATGAAAAGAAGAAGGAGAAGAAGAATGAAAAGAAGAAGGAGAAGAAGAAGGAGAAGAAGAATGAAAAGAAGAAGGAGAAGAAGAATGAGAAGAAGAAGGAGAAGAAGAATGAAAAAGAAGAAGGAGAAGGAGAATGAAAAGAAGAAGGAGAAGAAGAAGGAGAAGAAGAATGAAAATAAGAAGAAGAAGAAGAAGAAGAAGAAGAATGAAAATAAAGAAGAAGAAGAAGAATGAAAATAAGAAGAAGAAGAAGAATGAAAATAAGAAGAATTACAGTACAGCAAAAAGTGTATCTGCAGAGAGCTCCGCTATTTCTGACAGTTCTCTGACAGTTCCTTCACATTTACAGCGGTTGAAACATTGTATCTATTTGTTTCCGAATAAAAACATCTGTATCCTAAATGGAAACAAATAGATACAATGTTTCAACCGCTGTAAATGTGAAGGAACTGTCAGAGAACTGTCAGAAATAGCGGAGCTCTCTGCAGGGACACTTTTTGCCGGCTGTAGAAGGGATGAAAATCGGCCGATCGGGAAAAATTTGATTCGTGCATCCGAAGTTTGCTAATTTTCGGATTCGGTGCGAATCAAATTTTTCCTAATATTCGAAACGAATTCCACTTCGCCAAGTTCGATTCGCTCATCTCTAATAGCTTCCCATGGTTTCCAATACCATTTCTATGCTGATGACACACAAATCTCGCTCTCTACTCCTCAGCTCACCTAAATCAGTTTCCTCACGTATTACAGATTTACTAGCAGACATATAAGACTGGATGTCACACCACTTCCTAAAACTCAATCTATCCAAAACTGAGCTCATAATATTTCCTCCCCCACATACCTCTTCCCCTGATTTCTCGGTCAGGATCAATAGCACCACTATCAACCCATCCCTGCATGCCAGGGTGCTAGGGATAACCCTGGTTTCTGAACTATCCTTTCAGTCCCACATCCAGTCCCTGTCCAAATCATGCTGCCTCAACCTCCATAACATCTCCAAAATATGCCATTTTTAACCAATGATACCACAAAGCTCCTAATTCACTCAATGGTTATATCTCACCTCAACTATTGCAACTCCCTCCTCATTCGCTTACCTTTACATAGGCTATCCTCCCTCCAGTCCATCATTAATACTGCTGCGAGGCTCATCCACCTTACCAACCATTCAGTGTCTGCTACCCCTCTCTGACAATCCCTCCACTGGCTTCCACTCATACAACAAATAAAACTAAAAATACTGACAACAACTTACAAAGCCATCCACAACTCTGTCCCAAGCTGCATCACCAACCTAGTCTCGAAATATCAACCAAACCGCTCTCTTCGATCCTCCCAAGACCTTCTGCTCTGTAGTTTCCATGTCACCTCCTCCCATGCTCACCTCCAGGACTTCTCCTGAGCTTCTCCCATCCCTGAAAACATTTCACTTTAAAGAAACCTATCCTGCTTCTAATTAGTAAACTACCTTTTATATCCTCCATCAGCTCATCCCCCACAGCTATTACCTTTTGTATCACTCAATCCTT